TTAGTAGGTAAAGTAAATATGATAGTGGGAAAATTTTAAGTTGATTTTAGATGTTGACTCAAAATCATATCTTTTTTTCTGAAAGAAAGGTACAGGCTTTAAACATGAAGAAATTATTCAGGAGGAAAAAGCCTAATCTTAGGGAGAAAAGGTGAATTCATAGGACCTCCCATAAAATACAGGTCACTTGAGATTTTAATAGGAATGTTGTTGTTTAGTTGTTTTTCAGTAGTGTCCGACTTTTCATGATCCCATTTGGGATTTTCTTAACAAATATAGTGGAGTGGTTTGCTATTTTCTTCTCCAGCTCATTTTAAGATGAGGAAACTGTGGCAAAAAGGATTATGTCACACAGCTAGTAAATGTCTGAGGCAAGATTAGAATTCAGGGGGCAGCTAGGTGGCGCAGTAGATAGAGCATCGGCCCCTTAAGCCAGGAGGACTGGAGTTCAAATCTGGCCTCAGACCAAACACTTGACACTTACTAGCTGTGTGACCCTGGGCAAGTCACTTAACCCCAATTGCCTAAAAAAAAAAAAACAAAAAAAAAAAACCAAACCAAAAAAAAGATTAGAATTCAGGAAGATGAGTCTTCCTGACTTCAGGCCCAATACTTTATCCACCCATGCCACCTAACTGTGCCTTACTGGAAATGAACAGTTGCAAATTTAGCACAGTAAAGACAGAAGGCCCAAGTTATGATGAGGGAGAATTCTCATGTAAAATGCAAATACTCAGAGAACTTAACAGTTATCTCAAAAGGCTACATCAGATTTAGAGAAGTCCTTGTGGGTAAGTGATACATAACCACACACAAGGAAAATTTGTACTTTCCTTGTTTGTACTACAATGACAGATGTACAGTTGTTGAAGTAAAAATGTCTGGCTCACTAACCGGGATCTGGAGGTACCGGAGAAAAAAGTCTTTAGTAGGTTAATCATATTCAAGTTTTGTGAATCATAAGATATTTACTGTTTAGTTGGCAGAGTGGTGAGGTTTGGCTTCACAGTGAATAACTGCAAATGTGACCTCTTGCTTAGTGACAAGCACAGTAAAGGAACACAAATAGAGCCTGCAAGTGAAGCATTTCACATTGGAGGCAAAACAATCACTCAGCATCTAAGTGCATTCTTCACATCTGGCCAACGCAGAAAGCTGAAAACAACTGAGGACGCCTTTTACTCCCAAGAAATGGAAGGGAATAGGAATTGGCTTCAGCCCATGCCAACACCATGCTGTTCACATGAGCATGAACAGGTCAAGATAATTAAACAAGAAGGTGGTGTGACACAAAGAAAGACGCTCTGAGGTGCTTACTGCAAAGGGGGTGCAAGCAGTATTGTGAAACTGGCTCAGTCACAAGACAACTGCTCAAATGACGCTAATGGATAACTCGTAAAATGGTGTCATAGTGGTTAGAGCACTCAATTTGGAGCCAGGAAGACCTGGGGTCAAATCTTGCTTTAAACACTTACTATATAACCCTGGGTAAGTCACTCCCTGTGTCTCAGTTTCCTGATTTTTAATATGAGGGGATTTGGACTTGATGCCTTCTAAAGCCTTTTTAGATATAAATCTATGATCCTTTGATCCTGTAACAATATGGTGCCTTTTGTACCCAAAGGTAATGCTACTGACTCACTATCCACAGGGAATATGTTGAGGCAAGGCTTATAGCTTTCTGTTGATTTACATACATTTTTACATAATGCCATGCATTTGCAAAATAGCTGGCTACAGTTTGGGTCCAGGTGACCTGAAAAATAGTGGAGTCAAATGTCTCAGTTGAAGATCAAACCCAGAGACCTGGACTTCATTAATATCATCTCCTAACTTGCTTTTTTAACTAGAGCAAACACACAAAAAGCCAAGAGTGAGTAAGACTTTAAGGATCACTTCCTGTCTTTTAGTTTTGATAAATTGTCAAAACTTGGTTTGAAAAGGAGTGTGAGGGAGCAATGATGGACATAAGAACTATATGCTTCTAAATCTGTATAAGGGAAATTGCTAGGAAACTGGAAAAATGCAAATGTTCTAGTGCCTTTTGAAAATCAAACTGTAACTGCAAAGAACCCCAGGTTGGTAGCTGCCAAAGAGCCTGTAGCAAGAAATGCTTGGGTGAAGATTTCTATTTTTCATTCTCTCTGCTTTATTTTCAATGCTAGTTGTTAAAGAGATAAAGTTGATAAAAAAGATAAGGAGTTGACAAGATAAAGGTAACTGAAAATTCCAGGTAAAGGCAATGGATGCAGAGGAAAAGGATGTCTGTCAAATTGAGTTACCTACAGAATGCCCTTTGCAAACTCACTGTTTAGAGTTTTCTTGAATTGTTAGGTTGCATGTCATCTAGAAGAATGAAAGAGTAGGGGGAAGAGCCCCAAAGATAGTCACAACAGTATCGTTAAAACTAAATGCATTTCAGAAGCCTGAGAACTCACTAGTCTGAGAAAGGTGTCAGATGTTTGTGTCCATGTTCTCCATGATGAACAATGAAGATAAGATAAATGGGGGAGATGTACTGAGCTACTCTCACGGTAATAACTGAAATCATACCATGATCAACACTAAATACATCTTGGCATAGATGTGGCTATGATGACACCATTTCAGACCTGCTCAGTCACCTCAGTAAATAAAAAGACCTGGAATGTCTCTCCTCAAAGGGGCATAACAGCTTTAATCCCCAGCTCTCTTTTTTCCCAAAAAAGAAAGGTTCAGACTACTTGAAGCCATTTGTTTTTTACAAATGAACATTCAGAGCATCTCTCTCACTGAGAATGTCTCAGAAATCACCATCCGGGTCTACCAGGAGGCCTTTGTTGGTCACATCAAGCAAGCTGCGTAAAACCAGAGACTTGATACCAAAAAGAGAATCTAGAAAGCCGGCCAGAATTGGAAAAAAATACACCTGCTACACATAGGTACAAAGGTGTGAAATCATATGAAATAACTGTGTTAAAGGAAGAAAGAAGGGAGTAAGTGTGCTGAAGGTTCAGGACTGGTTGGATGTTTAATAGGAATTTCATTAAAACCACAGAAGTCCTCCATCCCCACTGAGACATCCTGCCAAAGCATTTTTAGTAACTGAGTAGAATGACTAATGATAGTTTAGCCAGTGAACTACAGCAGTTAGGGATTTAGTGTGCACATACTGACCGTGAATTGCTGTGAAGCTGATTTACATACAGCTTTATGAGAGAATGCTCATCAGCCACAGGACTGGCTGCACTCACACCCTCAAGTAACCTGAATGATTCAAACAATGAGACCTCATTAAAATTGTCCATCGACACAGCCCAGCCCCAGTCAGAGCAGAAAGACATTGAGTGGACACAGCTTTATTAGACAGGACCCTTGGCAACAGACACCAGAGGCAAACCAAGGCTGCCACAGGATGTGGTATAATCATTTAAAACAACTCTGGGGTTCTAAGGAAACATTCCAAAGAACCTGAAAAAGGAAACAAGTTAAAACAATTGCCACCATTTTGAATTACTGGGCACCGGGCACCCTGGAGGACCCAGAGCAGCTCAGAGTATCCTAGGAATATTTTAGGGTGGAGGAAGTCATGTTATCCATCTAGATGCATCCACCATAAGCACCGTCCAAGCTGAAATGATATAAAATGACCTGAAATAAGGATGGAGTCAGCCTCTGGTTGAGCATTTGCAGAATGCACTGTTTCTTAGAGAAAGTATAGCAAAGATCAAATGAAGACCCCAATATATTTCTGAACATTAACTGGAATCTTCCCAGACTATAATGAAAAAACAAGTCTCTGCATTGTCCTCTGACTGGGTCTGACAATTCATAACTTCATTTTTGAAGAAGCAATTGAATTGGCTGATGGTTCTGGGGTAATAGTCAAGGTAAATATTTTGTTTCTCTGTTGAATGAGCTAGTATAATTCCTGTAACATTCCTATGTTAGGATTCTTCATGTCTATCACTGAAACACTGCCATATTCCTTTAATTACAAGGATAAGGAATGCCATTATTGCTGGTCACTCCTGATATATGTATGAGGACAGGAATGGATCAGCAAGAAGAATAGTAGCAAGTAGTATTTTTCTGTCTTCAAGCCCTCATTAGTAAATACTGAAACACTAGATTAAAGTCAGTAGCTCAGAAACAAGCTTAGCTCTACAGTGAAAGGGTTTGTGATTATTTTGTGGTATGTGTGATCACTGTAACTTTTTTTTAAGAGTTATTTGGGATTGTGTGGGAAATTCCTTACTTCTATTTTCTTTATCTTTGCTTTTGCTTTCCTATTAGACTGTGCTCTTTGTACTTAAAACAACAAATTTTCATACCACAATTTGGTGTTTTTGATATTTTTGTTGATAAAATAGCATAGGGTTCCTCTTGACATTTCTAATGTGTAACCATCTCAGAGGTATTAATTATTCCTGCCCTAAGATCATGAGGAAATTAATACATGGAAGATAAAACAAACTTCCACCCATTTTTCTTGTTTTTACCCATTAAACTGCCATGGAAACGACACCCCCCAGCTATTGATTCAATCCCTTGCTCTGGATACAGTAACATTTGCCAAGAAGGATGTTTTTGTCAGCTGATGCTTTTGGTGATGAGACTTTTTTGGACCATGCACAACAAATCAAAGTATCTCCAAAACCCTGTGCAATTCTTTGGCTCTTATGAACTTCTTTAACTGCAGTCCAGATATCAGAAAGGGCAATTTAGCTAGGGTTTTCACTTTACATTCTCTCCAACAGAAGTAGTGTATATTAGAAGTGGGATTTGAACAAATTTACCATGGATAGGATGTAAACTTGGACTTCTCGAAATAATATTAAATCAATGAGTCAACTGCTTTCCTTAAATGTATAATGAATGAAATTAAGATCAGTTACATTTCCAAATTAGCTTTCAACCAGTATTTACACTAAATGGTTCAAAGTAGAATATTTTTCCCGCCAGAGACTCAAGATTCATTTACCAAGGAGGTGACATTTTATAATAGCATTTGAACTTACCTTCTGGTTATGAAAGGACTTCCTGAGGAGGGAACAGAGTGGGAGAAGAGTGTGTCATTCATGCTGGTTACAGGTCTGGGAGGCCTACAATAAAGAAAAGTCTTAATAAAATAACCACCCCCTTTCATCTCTTTCACTGGGGATAAAAAAGGGTCATGGTTCTCTCCTGCCCAGTATAAACTGATTGCACCCAAAGTTTGATATTTTCCAATTGACTTCCATAGTACTTTTATATGAAAGAGGCTAATATTCTTCTATGAATGCAAAAACTCAAGGAGTTTTTTGACCCCAGGAGAAAAATGAAAGAAATCCTTCATCAATATGCATGCTATTTTCACTTTTGCCTCTTAGAGCTTTGTATACTACATTCCTCTAACTTCTCCCAGTGGAGAAAATACTGACATAGAACTATCTATGATCATGGCTATTGAAAAAACGGGAGAGGGTTTTGCTAACTGTTGGTTATAATCCTTCTCCACTTGGAAGGAGAAGCATGACTTAAGAGAACTGAGCAAGTTTTGTTAATTATTCCTGCCCAGGCCTTAAAGTAGGTAATGTCTTGTTATAGAAAGAACCCTGGAATTTGGAACCAAATGACTGAATCTCATCTCTACTACCTACTGCCTGGGTGACCTTGGGCAAGTCATGTCTCAGTTTTCTCATCTGAAAAATGAAAGGTCTGAACTAGGATGACCTTCCAGTTCTATCTGTTATCCTGTGAACTTATACTGTGGGCTTTATTCTCACCTTAGTTCTTCAGGTCATGATGACAGCCCTCTCCTATAGATTGTTATTCCACTCTTTGAGCACCCCGCCCCTTTTCCTCATCTTGTCATACTAGAGTTTGAGGCATCCTTAAAACTTAAGACTTGTCCAAAATGAGTAATCACTCTACTAGCATTTATTAATCACCTACTATGTGCCAGTCACTATGGTAGATGCTTGGGGTATATAGACAAAAATGAAACAGCTCCTACCCTCAAGGAGCTTACATTCTATCATTGGGAGATGGGTTCCAATAATGTTGGGAAATAATGGAGTCTAATGCTTTTTTCATATTTAATATGTGCTTCTTCTGAAAACAACATTTTGTCTCAAAACTTTTCATAGCAGATTTACATAGTTAATACACAGGGAGAATTCATAAATGACACTCCAGTGAGGTCCAATGCTTTTTAAAGGACATTTCTGGGATAGTTCTGTGATTTCATCAATGTAGGTAATTGTCCTGCAACTTACAGTTTTGGGAAGTTGTCTGGGACAGTGAGAAAGTGATTTTTCCAGTGTAATTCAAAAGTGAGACTTGAACCTAAGGTCTGGCTCTCTATGCAGCAAATCACACTGCCTCTCAAAGCACTAAATATTAATCAAGAGGGTTCACACCTTGTTTTTGCCCCACCTGACTATTACACTTCACTGAATGCTCTTTTATATCCCTTTCACCTCTGATGTCCAGGCACTCAATTAAGAGCACTTTTTGATTTTGCTAAGAATATTTTTGATTAGTAAGATTAGTTTTTGGTTTTACTTTGTATTGAATATTAGATAATCCTTGGTTACAGCTGAAGTCGGTAAAGTATTTCCTTGTATGGAGAGGAAAGAAGGGTAAGACACCACTACATGAGAGAATAACTGTTGTTTCACTGGAATTCCAGACTTTAACTTTACAGTACAGAATACTCTGCTATCATTTGCCAGTCATTAGAGGTACCAATAAAGATATATTTGTATGAGTCTGGCAAAAAGTGAAATTTATAATGAGTCTTCTAATTTTTAAGTTAGGGAAGCATTATTACTGGCTATGCTTTCTGATCCTTCTGTGATAAGAATTTGCCCTAGTGGCACAAAGGTGACCTTGTTTATCACAATGAAGGAATATGGATACAACCAATAGTCTGCAGGGTTTGCAGATGTGTGTGTGTGTTTGTGTGTGTGTACACACACACTATCAACATAAATGCAACCAAATGCTACTTCTTTCCAATAATTGACGCAAAATTCAATCTAAACAGCTTGAGAGTCTTAAGGATTTTGAGAAGTTGGTATTGTACAAAGACTTTAGGGTCAGAAAATCTGGGTTTGAATCTCAACTCTGCTTTTAACAACATGTATGAACTTGGACAAGTTGTTTAATGTTTCTGAGTCTCAGTTTTCTCATCTATTGGTTGTTTGCTGTCCTTCATTCCTGAAGAGGACCAAAATGGCATCACTATGTTAGAGTCAAGTTACAATGTGTCCAACTGTGGCTGATCAAACTAATATGATCTTGGAACGCTCTACCACAAGTCAGGTACAAACAGTCAGTGTGAACATCTCTAAATTTGTACATCTTGTGTTTCTTTTGAGCTACTTCAGTTCTGTGACCACTCCAGAAAAACAAATCCAGCTCTGATCTCAGTAAGCTGGCCTTCATTTGGCATAAAAATGAAGAGAATGTACTATATGACTAAGGTAGCCTTTCTAGCTCTAAATACAATGAAAATGATACTTTATTTCATTTGCTTCAGGATAATTTAAAGTTGTGAAAATTATCTTCATGTTCTGCTTTGTTAATTTGTGACACACTGTCAAAAGTGAGCAACACTAGCTATTCATGTTTAAAAGGAGTTCTAACTTGGAATCTACCCTGGGGATACAGGATCTATAAGCTAAAAGGAGATAATCAGTCTATAAATTCTCATGCTCTCCATATTTTATTTCTGCTTTCATATTCTGGTTTGTATTAAATTTATGTTTTATAAATCCCTAGTAGACTGTGAGCTCCCTGAGGAGAGAAGCTGTATCTTTCTCATCAATGTCTTCCTTCAGCATCCAGTATAGTCTTTTACATTTAGGAGGCAACCAATAAATGTTGTTGAACTGAATTATGAAAATTTCCACTGTGGACTGTCAAAAGCCAAGTTCAAAATGAGATGCGTGGAACCAAAGAAATGCTTCCATCCTTTGTAACCATCTAAAAAAAGAAATTTTAAAAAAAGTCTAAATTTGGGAGAAAAGCATCCCTAGGAAAAATGAAAATGTAAAAATTCATGTACTTCTCTATGCCCTTTGTTTTTCCACGGGCAAGTAAGAACAAAGTGGAACACTAATGCCTTTTTCCACTGTCTATAAGTCAGAATAAGCTCATCATAAGTATCAAAATAGGATGACTGGCCATGGAATCAAATATTGTTCATGCCTTTCCCCAAATAGCATGTTAGAGCCCAGAGGAATCTTGAGGATAATCTCTGGTCCAAACTAGACATTTCATGGTGGAGGGAACTGAGAGAGGTTAAATAATTTGATTAAAGTCACATGACTAGTAAGTGTTAGAGGACCTGACTAGACACTCTGCCTTCTTTGAACAACACCACATTGCTTTTATTAAATAATATAGTCCTTTCTTGTTAAATAAAACAATCATTCCACTGAGTAAGGTACCCTGAGGATTTTAAACCAATCTCATGATGCCCAGAGAAGCAATGTCAAAAGATGGGACCAACCACCTAAGTCTGTGCTAATACACTACAATGATTTATTTATGGATGTGGAAATTATAGGTTAAGACTCCTATAAAGCCAATATTTCACTTCATAATCACATGTTTCATAGCCATTTATATTTATAATTATAAGCCTTTAAAAAAAGTATACTGGATTCTAACAAAATACTTACCAAGTATCTCTTTGGCAGCAAAAATAAAATATAATAGAGAACATTAATTATTCTGACATTTAAGAACAATATAGCATCTAGGTGAAAATCATAACTCCTTTGCTGTTTGGCTCCTGAAAACTATTTAAATATTGCTAAGTGAGGGTAGATAAGTGGTAAGTGGATAAGACCATTAAATGCCCTGTGCTTGAAAAGAGCAGGAAAGGAGGAAAAAGAGAGAAGCGATTTTTTTCTATGTTGATTTGCTTATCTGTCACTTGTCCCTGTGAAAAAAAAATAACAATAATTCTCTCATTTAAAGTAATATTTTCTGTTTAAATATTATTTTATATTATTCTCTGATGATATGATATCTTTACTTGGATCTAATATGCAGTTACAAAAATTTCAGATTGCTAGGGTCTACAGTATCACATTCATTTGTCAAAATTCACATAAAAAATTGGCACTAAGATTTTTAGGACGTTATAAAAGTCTATCCAACCAATTTACTAAATATTGATCAAGCCGAAGCTACATCTATAGCTGAAATTTACATCTGTTCCTCCCAGTGATTTTCTATTTTTAAAAATATGAGAATGGATCTCGACGAAGACTAGAACCAAATTCGATTTCTAAGTCATAAATCATTATTGGGATGAAAAGGTAAAGGGAATGGATGATATCTGACAGCTATTTCTAAATTCCCAGGTATCACAATATCCTGAATGTTATAAGATGGAGCAGGAATAGATTTGATTGCCTTTAGAAATGTATGTAATCAGTGAGGTAGATAAGATAAATAAATGTTTTTGCCTATATACATTACATAAATAACTGAGAATTGCATTTCTATATTTATTTTTGCCTAAAAAAGTACTTTTATAATAAATGTAAATATTGACTAGCTCTATACATATGCTCAACTAAGAGATTAAACAGATTAATAAATCATTCCAGGAGATGGTTATCATATGTCTATGATAATTTGATACAGTTAAAAAGATATATTTTAAAATTGAAAATCATGCATGAGAGCAACAAAAAAATTATGCTGGTTTATTTGGTCAATGTAACAGTATTTGGGGGAAGAAATATACAGAAGTGTAAAACTGGAGAAAGCATTCCATACTGATACAAACTCAAAAACCCTGTAAACCTTTAAAGTAATCATTAAATTCCTGTAATAATGGATATATTTCTCATGATGTTGCTTAATCCATATTACTTTAAAATAAACATAAGAAAAAACACTGCAAAATGTATTATCAAGGGACATGTATAGTTTTCCTAAGTCAATATGAGTAACTAATATAGTTGGCCATGTTTTCCCTGTGATTTAATAGATGTTTTATTATGAATCACAAACAATATTCTGTACTCTGTCACGGACTCACTGGGAGGACAGATTATACTGGAAAATAGATAGCATCTTCCTCATAGCTACTCACTTCAAATTATTTTTAGGATGTGGCAGTAATTCAGTTCTAATGCAAAGCTGATAGAGCAAGAACTTTCTTATCCATTTCCTATCTATCTTCATTGTGCCAAGCAGAACTGAATGAGGTACCAGACTGCTGAAATATGTGAACTTCTACAGGAGAGATGCATCCTTCTTAAAAGAACCAATGTCTGTCGGATTCAGAAGTAGAGCTCAGTTAGTACGGGGCAACCTCCATTACATTTTTGGTCATTCTCTAGCAGCTTACTGATTTTCATTAATTAGACAGGGTCGAGATGAGGACAGTCTAGAGTTTTTTAATGACCTTAGGACTTCTGGGAGTTTAGAGCTGAGAATCAGCATGTATGAGGTGGTTTTCCCCAAGCAGAGGGAAAACTACTCAGCATGGGCCTATCATTAGCACTTGGGGATGATCCATAAATTTATAATAAGACAAAGCAAAGATAACCATATTCTATAGTATAGGATTTTAAGAATATTAAATGAGTCAGCTTCACAGATACCTAACTCTTACCAGCAGCTAAATAACTATGACCATGTTAATAATGGGGACTACTAACTATATCTCTTATTGAATACAGTTATTTCTCAACTCTCAGCAGAAAGCAGAAATTGCTCACAACCAGAATACTGCACTAAGCATTTGTGTGCTGTTTTAGACAGGTGATCAGAGTAAATAAGATAAGTTCTTTGGAAAAAAAGATATTTTTATTTGTTCATTTTTTGAGAGAGCCTACAGTATGATCTCTTTGACTGACTGCCAGAGTAATTTTCTTTGGTTTGCGTATTGTCAATTGTTAATGTAGCTAGCTAGGTGGCTCAGTAGATAAAGTGCTGGGCCTGGAGTCAGAAGGACTTATGTTCCTGAGTTCAAATATGGCCTCAGACATTTACTAGCTGTATGACCTTGGGCAAGTCACTTAACTCTCTTTGCCTCAGTTTCTTTATCTGTAAAATGAGCTGGAGAAGGAAATGGCAAACCATTCCAGTTTCTCTGCCAAGAAAACCTCAAATGGGGTCATAAAGAGTTGGACGTGGCTGAAAAATGTAGTTAGCTTTGGATGGGAGCCTTGTTTTTGAGTTTGCTCAAGAAAATATCATCAATCATTCGGCACTAGTCAGCTCTGAAATGAGATGGTATTTTAGGGACAGTGAATTACCAATTATGAGGCTTTCAGAGAAGGATATAATCTTATTTGATAAGGCAGGGCAGCTGTACCAGAGCAAAAAGTTTCAGGGACATGGGGGAGGATTTTAATGTAGGAAATAGTAAGCCCCTGCAGCAGAAATACAGCCATCCACTTGTGCTTGGGCACAAGGCAGAAAGGATGAGGATTCTTAGCTGACCGTCATGATGTCCTCTCCTAGGCTCAGTTATATAGCCGGGGGTATAATAACTTTCAGATGTGATGACAGTTTAGTGTTGATTTTTTTTTGAAGTGAGGAGTTCCTGGTGTAGAAACTCCCTCCACTGATATAGTCTCTCAGGTTAATTTATACAGTAGTTTTGGAGAATTGCCTGGGGACACTGAAAAGTTGAATGATTTACCCAGAGTCACATAGTTACTATATGTCAGAGTCAGTATAGTACGATTCAGGTCTTCCTGGATCCAAGGTCAGCCCTCTATTCATTATGCAACACTACTACATTTAACTTCTGGCTATTGAGAGAAATGAAAAAGAAGGTTGGGGGAGGAATAGACAGCTCATTTTCTGAGTTTGTAGCATCTTGGAGGTGAATATACTTAAAACCAAAAAACAAATAAATGAATCCATTTTCTCCTTATTATTAGCTGATGTAAATTCTACTAGTACTTACATGTTAAAATATCAAATGGTATAATTTCCTCAATATCAGAAGTCTCATCTAACTTGTCAATTTCTGGAAGCCTTCTATATTTAAGATGGTTGAACCAGCTTTTTATAATTAATTCACTGTTTGGTCAAGGGAAAAGAGAATGTTCTCTTTGCTGTGGCATTTCTTAAAATGGCCTTTCATTTAAAATTTTACATTTGAAATCTGAACTCTGGTAAACACATATATACTTCCCTTAGAACCAATATAAGTACATGACATGATGGCCAAGAACCTAAGAACATGATCAGTGGCCCCGTGGCCTGCATGTACTTACACGATGTGAGCCAGGTTTAGTGGTTTTTCAGGCTGATCAGGAAACATGGGGTGCAAAGGTTCACGGCTGGAAGCACAACTCAGAGACTTGCTTAGCGCATTTGTTAACTTCTTAGCAGGTGACTTCTAGGAGGGACAAGCAAGACACAGGTAAGGTAGACAGGCACAAGGAATAATTTTGATATCACACATGAAACATCCCTCCAAGGCAATCTTCTGGGAGTGTGGGGGAGGAAGGGATGAGAATGGGTATATGGGATGGACTAGGCCTGGTGTGAGGAATCTCCCAGGAGGGGGTTTCCTCTACCAATGCAGATTGAGACTCTTTCTGCAACTTAGAGTCTTAAGACATTACCTGGGGTCACTGAGAAGTTAAATGACTTGTCCAGGGCCACACAGCCAGTATATGACAGAGGTAGAACTCGAACCCAGGTCTTTTTGACTCTGAAACCAGTTCTCAATCCACTAAATCAGTAACCAATAATCTATCAATATGCCATCAGAAACCCTTAACTTGAACTGTCCTTTTCTGCAAGAAACCATTTACCGTTGTACCTCTTGTTTTCTTTTATACATTGACACCTAAACTGAAAATTTTACTATAAAAACCTAGCATTCCCTTATTATTTAAAAGCCAAAATAATATATCCATTTGTATGCCAATCCTTTCTCTTTCTCCTCCTCCTTCTCCTCCTCCTCCTTTTTCCTGCTCCTCCCTCTCTTCCTCCCCCACCTCCTTCCCCTTTTCTTCTTCCTTCTCCTCCTTCTCCTCCATTGTAACCCTTTACCAACCAGGCTGTACTAGTCATCAGAGAACAATAATAAAGGTGCTCTACTTACTTAGAGACAAAAGGAGTAAAAGAAGAAATGGGGAGATGTTATTGAATACTTCCTGAAACATGACATTGAGAAAGCAGTCTATATCACTTAGGATACTAGAATTTTTAACTGTATCTTAAAGCAAAGTGGCTAAATTCCTATGATGTATAACTTGGATCACATTACTCCTATGATCAAAACTCTTCTATTGCTCTCTATTACATAGCAAATAAAGTCCAAAATCCTTAACCTAGAATTCAGTTGCCTACGATCTCCCTTACTTGCCCTTTCACATCCTACTTGCCTGTTGTGTCTTATATTTCAGCCCAACATGACTATTACTGCTCTGGGGACTTCTCTTGGTCTTTCCTGCCTCTGTGCCTTTGGACATGCCATCCTCTTTGTTTGAACTGTATCCTTCCCTTCTTCTTCTGCTCCCTCCATCATCTGCTTCTTTTCTATCATTCAAGCTCAGTTCAGGTGGATCTTCCTCCATAAATCCTTCTCTGACTTTTCCAAATGGAAGTAATTTCACACACCTTGGAAATCTCTTAGCATTTCAAACATCTCATTCACATCAAACTTAATTTTGTAAAAAATTCATTTTATACAATCTCTTTTTGTAAGCTTCTTTTCCATTCACGTTTGTCGACCACACAGTTCCTAGTTCAATGACTTAAACATAGACCTTGTTTAATAAATAGCTATTTAAAAAAATACTACAAAGAGTTTTCTGGGATGTCTTCTCACAGTCCTGTTACCCATTCCCTAACATCATTGCCCCTACCATTATCCAAAAAGTTTAAAAAATGTTGTTTAAATCCCAGAGGTCACTGATTCTAATTTTCTTTTTGGGTAGTCTGATTATATTCTCTAAAGACAGTGCCATCCTATGTGACTTTATAGTCCAAAATATTTCAGAAAAATAAAGACTATTCCTGAGAACTAAATTTCCTTTTCCAAAGTCAGTTTTAAATGATATTCAAAATGAGAATATAGTTATTATCAAAGGGGAAATTTACATATAAATAAATATTTTCCCAATACAACAAAACCTCCAGGGTACTGGATATACAAAATATGAAAGTGGTTATTTCTTAAAAACAGATGATATGCCTCGGCCTAAAACTCTTTCCTTCCACAAATCTGCCTATTGAAACTCATTTCCTTCACGGCTGCCTCCTTAATGGAACTTTGTTGGATCCCCTAGGAGAGAGTGATCTTTTTCTCCTCAAATTTTCTTAGAATAGTTTTTGTTAATCTCCCCTTTGCCCTTATATTCTGCCATAGATCACACTTATCTTGGTACGTGTTATGTCCCTCTGCTCTCTCTCAATAGATTTAAGTTTCTGGAGGGTAGAGACTTGTGTCTCTTTCTATGTTTGATTTTTCCTTGGGTGCCTTGTACATAGTATGCTTTTAAAAACCTCACAGAGTGAGGGCAGCTAGGTGGTGCATTGGATACAGCACCGGCCCTGAAGTCAGAAGGACCTGTGTTCAAATCCGACCTCAGACCAAACACTTGACCCTTACTAGCTGTGTGACCCTGGGCAAGTCACTTAATCCCAACTGCCTAAAAACAAAAACCAAAAAAAACCTCACAGAGCATTTTGATTTATACCTAAGGAACTTATACATTATTGGGTTATCTATATTACCTGTGTATATATCTTATGGGAAGAAGGCAATAAGCTAAGGGAAATTAAACTCAGTAAGGGCAAGGACTTTTTTTCTCAGAGTTTTGCCGATTGCTGTTCAGTCATCTCCAACTCTTCATGACTGCGGATTCTATCACGCCAATACCGTTCCTGAGGTTTTCTTGGCAAAGATACTGAAATGGTTTGCCATTTCCTTCTCCAGTTGATTGAGGCAAATGGAAGTTAAGTGACTTGCCCAAGGTCACAAAGCTAGTGAGTGTCTGAGACCAGATTTGAACTCAGGTTTTCCTGACTCCAGGCCCAGTGCTCTATTTACTGAGCCACCTAGCTACCTGATAGTAGCTACTTAATAAATATTTGGTAATTTAATTGAATGGAAAACTTTCCCTCCCATAGATTCTGAAAAACAAGTGCATTAAAAATTTGGATAGAGTCTGCTCATCATTTTTGTGGTACGCCAAAACCAAGTAGAAACAATGAGAGGATGGCACAGTTCTGCCAGTACCCCAAAGAATCACTAAAATGTAAACTCAGTAGAAGTGGTAAACAATGAGTGATCTAATGTTAAACATTCCTCTGCCTCCTTTTTATTTTGTTTTAGTTTTGTTATTTGTTTAGTATTGTTATTTAGGCTTCATATTCTGAGTAAGTTTATAATGGGTTTTTTTCTTTAGGATCAATTAATTTATCTCTGGGTCACCATAATTTGAACTTAAATTTGTTTAGCTTTGGAGGGGCTTGGTTGCAAGTGCCATGTATTTTTCTCATGTGAGAAGCGTGACTGGAGGAGTCGATGGGATTGCCTTCCTAAAAAAATAAAAAATAAAAAAAAATAATCCAGTGAGCAATGCTCTAATGGAAGATGGAGACAACTGAGCATTCTCATTATGACTGCTTTTTGAATGTAACTGTTGGGGATGATAAGATATAGCAGCAGACAGCAAATCGCTTGAGTGAGAAACCAAGATAGTGCCATTTCTCAAAGACTCACTGCCACCTGCTTCCTGTGACAAGCATATCAGCTAGGCAGCTAGCTATTCATGTGGAACTTTGTTTGGCTAAACTGGTTTACTTGACTCGACACTAAAAGATTAGTTACTCACATATACATAATAAAAAACCAAAAATAAATAAATAAATAAATATCCCAGAAAAATAAATGGATTAAAAGGAATGCTTCTATTCAAACCAGATACCCACACTGCTTTTCTTCATGTTACAACATATATATATACATATATATATACACACACATACATATATGAATTATAGAAAATAAGAAAAAAAAACTAACAATCATTTTATGCAAGTCCAGTAGAAATCTAAAACACAATCAAATTTAAACACCCTCAATGTCCCATGAAAATAGAATTCTTCTCCGAGTCTCTCCTGCTGTTCTGTTGGCATCCAGCACAGCATGAAAATGATGGAAATTCACATCTAGACTCCAAGGAGCAAGATTGTTCAAAACTTTCTATTTATCATCTCTCAGAAACCTACAGCAGAGTCGGGAAAGGATCTCTACTTACCTCCAATGAGAAGGAGGAAGCACACCAAATTTCACCCCTTGAAACAAAAAGTAAGTCTGACCCCCAATGCTAACACCACTCTTGATGTTCCTTCTCACTCTGGGGAGACTCCAACATTCTACAGTGAGCGATGCCTGAACCTTGCCTTACCCATGACGTGTACTCCTTCATTTGGTGCTGGTTGCTATGGGAACCACTGGCATGTCCCCTCCAGAAGCAGTCCTGACAGAGCTGGTAATTGTGACACTGCTGGCATCGATAGCGAAATCCCATCATGCTCTCACTGTGGCAATAGGAACACTCAACAGGGTGGAAGACTGAGGGGAAGATGAATTAAAAGAAAAAGAAAATAAAAATGAATAATGTTAAAGATAAAACTACTAAAAGCCACTGAATTCTTCCACTGTCAACCCTAATTTTTAGCATTCTATTTGACATTCAGTTCTAGTTGAAAATAGCATTAGACAGATTTCAGAAACTTGAGGTACCCCTTTCAAATAGGGTAGGAGGGAAACAGGTGGGGGTATTCTTTTTTGAAAATAAACGAACAAAAAAAAAAACCCTCTGGAATGCCAGTCCCTCTCCTCTTCCATGTCACACTACAAGAATATAAATGACCCAGGGTAGTTTACTCCCACCAAAGACTGCTTTCTGTCTCTAAGAGGTTTATACAGTTCTTTGAAAATCTCAGAAACACATTTAATAGAAACAATTGAACTCTCAGAGAGTGCAGGAAATAGCAAACAGTTAAGAACTTGTGCATAATGAGAGGGACAAAGATTGGGGAGAGTTGAGAGAGGTAAACAGAAAGAAAAGAGAAAAATGAGAGACAGATGTAATGGACACAGAAAGGAATGAACTAGAGGAAACAAAGTAGTAAAGGGGAAGGGAGAGAGGAAGGAAGAAAGGAAGGAAAGAAGGAAAAGAAGAATGAGAAGGAAAGGGAGGGAAGGAAGAAGAGATGAAGAAAGAAATGAAGGAAGGAAGGAAAGGAGGGATGGAAAGGAAAAGGAGGGAGAGAAGAAGGGATGAAGGAAGGAAGGAAGGGATAAAGGGAGGAAGAATGGGAAAGAAAGAAAGAAGATTTTAAGCACTAACTAGTACAAATGTACTGTGCTAAATTCTGGGTATATAAATAGAAAAGCAAGACAGTCTCTCTGACATTCTAACAGGGGACATAGCACACAAAGGGTTTCAGGTGCAAGTTAGATGAAAAGGCTCTGTGCCTTTCCTTAAGGTACATTGGCAAAACACATAGGAATATATCTTATTTAATGTCAATTATACTGATAAAATAATATATTTCTAGTGTATAACCATTTGCCAGTGCCACAGACTCTTATGGCAAGAAGAAGAAGATAGAATAAGAGGAGAAACGAATTATTGTTCTAAAACTGAAGCAATTGTCCATGTCTATTGAGAATCATGATTTTGGACAGGACAGCCAATGAAGAGCCATGTGGATTTTCCTTTTCTGGCCATAGCTGGATGGACTCCATGGAAATACTTAAAGTCTTTGAAAACAAGTTGAATTGAACCAAATCAAGAAATATATCTTGCTTTAGCAGCAGGCAACGTCCATTTCAAACTGGGTGGGGTTAGGTGATAGTATTTGGGATCAATAATTAATTTAAAATCATTAAATATTCCCATTTCATGGGAATATGTTGAATTGCCAAAAAAAAAGAGAGAGAAAAGAAGAAAAAAGAAAAGAAAAGATTAGAAAGCCCATGCTTTTGAGGAAATTACTCTCTAATAGAGTGGTCAGGAAGAGAAGCAGAAATTATAAAGTGCAAATGATATAACAGCTATTTCCCAAAAGATAAACGATCAAAGGATTTGAACAAATAATTCTCAAAAGAACTTCAAAGTATTTACAACTACATGAAAAAATGATTCAGATGACTAAAAATAAGAGAAATGCAAATCAAAACAACTCTAAGGTTTTGCCTTACACCTGAAAATTGGCAAAAATGACAAAAAACTGGCAAGAGTCAGTGTTAGAGGGGTTGTGAAAATGCATTATTGCATTGTTGGTGGAACTGTGAAATGGCATGACCATTTTGGAAAGCAATTTGTAATTATGCAAATAAAGTGACTAAAATGTCCATACCCTTTGAAACAGAGACTTCATTACTGGTATTATACCCCAACAAAGCCATTGCAGCACTTTTTGTTATAGCTAAGAATTAGAAACAAAGTAGATGCCATCAACTGGAGGATAGTACAATAAATTATGGCATATGAATATAATAGAATATTACTGTGCTGTAAGAAATGACATGTGTAATAAATACAGAGACGCTTGGAAAGATCTGCATGAACTGATAGAGAATGAAGTAAGCAGAGTCAAGAAACAATATAACTCTCTCTCTCTCTCTGTGTATATATATATATATGTGTGTGTATATATAAAACTACAACAGTGTAAATGGAAAGAACAACACATCAAAAAAATCAAAAGTGAATGTAAGAAAATTATAATGATCAAGTAGGACTCAAATGAATAAATATAAGAGAATAACCCCAACCCACTCCTTTGGAGGGGTGGGAAGTCCACCTGTGTTAGACATTGCACGTGTTTTCAGATGTCTAATCAGTTGTAAAGACTTTCTTCCCTCTCTAAAAAATACTCTTTGTTATATGGGATGTTTCTGTGGGAGGGGAAGAGGATACTTTAGATAACTCTGATGATGTAAGAAACAAACCACATGAATAATACCTATTTTAAAATGTACCAGAAAATAACAAAACCCAGTAGAGATATAAGCTACCACTCTGGTATCCTCCACGAATACAACACTCCGTCTCTTCTGTAAGGAGTCGGGAACTCCAGATCTAGAAAACATTTGCTAATAGATATTAACTGCTAATATACTGGCATGTGATCTGCCCAGGAAGGAATATACAATGAGAACAAGTATATATGGAGGAAATACCTATAATGAATTTAAAGGCAAGTTTTTTAGCCTTACCAGTCTACGTACTTCTACTGCCTGCAGAAAAACCTTTTTAAACATCTGTTACAAAAGTCTAATGTATTCATTAAGTATGATTTTAGAAGTTTGGATTTTCCAACTCCAGTCTCTTTCAGAAAGCAATCTCTATCAAAAGCCAATCTACAAATGTTGGAGCTATAAATGTATTGCAGCTAGCTACAGGAAATGTTTAAAAATTAAATGTTAGCATTTTATGTAAATCATAAATCAATACCAAATGACAAGTGATAAAGCTGTTACTCTGAAAAAAAGGTAAGGAAAATTACGTTTCTTTTTAACTGAAAATGAACAATTTAGAGGGTTAATGCTTATGTGTACACATACCATATGATAAGGACTTCTACTTTTTTGCTTCTCCAGGTATAAAGAGGTAAGAAAAATGTTTGATATCAAATTGCCTTAAGCCTTTAAACTTATTCAATCCATGCACATAATTTGAGAATGTGATGACTAAAAGTTCAGGGAAGAAAGCAGGGAAAAGCCATTCCTTTAATAGTTTTATAAGCAATTGTGGTGAATAGATCCACTTGTCTAGGGGTGTGCTGGAGGCAGCTTTTTCAAGGGTGGGGAACCTTTGGCCTTGAGGCCACGTGTGGCCCTTAGGTCCTCAAGTGTGGCCCTTTGACTGAATCCAAACTTCATGGAACAAAACTCCTTAATAAAAGATTTGTTCTGTAAAACTTGGACTCAGTCAAAAGGTCGCACCCAAGGACCTAGAGGGCCACACGTGACCTTGAGGTCGCAGATTCCCCACCCCTGGAAGATTGCTGAATTTTCAGGGTAAGCATTACGCCTTGGAAGTCAGAAAATGCTACAAAATACTATTTTGTTGATTGAAGAGACCTAAAGAGAGTAAAAATGTTAATAAAGCAGATTAAACTTAAAAAGTATGTTATACACTTTCAGAGAGTCTGTTGTTAAACATTTACCAGCACATCCCTGCTTGTGACTGCCTGGGAAACCATGGGGGCAGATGAGGAAAGCTGTTTGCAAAGTCTTTCAATGCAAAAGCTTACCCAAACCATGCACATGGCTTGGGACTGTTACTACTGTTAACAAATTGTTCAGTGTGAACTGTTTTCACTTAAGCCTAAAGAAAAATTAGGGTATTAAGAACAGTTAAAGATTGGTGAGTGACAGATTTAATTATACCCAGGAATTTATATTTATTTAAATCTGCTTTAAATTTTTGATTCCTAATATGATTATTGTATTAGTAGCTAATGTTGATGCTTAGCTGTTTTAATAAGGCATTTTATTTTTCATAGGAAAAGCATAATTGAATGCAAAAGCATGCTAATCGTTTTCTTTCAGTTCATCTCACCTGTGGGTGGCCAAGCTGTCTGAGACATAAAGCCATAACCAAGCCATGACCATCCACCTAGTGACCACTTACCTTAATTATGGGCCAAACATTGAGGAAGAAACAAATAGCTTCATGAGTGCTAGCCTTGCAAATTACATCTCCAAAGTAACAATACACGTTGATCCCACAATTTTATTATAATCTTTGTGCACCACAATTATGAGCTAGCTAACACATAAAGGAAGCAGAACTAGTTAATGTATTTGGCCATTTTTTTTTGCATTTTTAACTGGTTACCTTCATTTTTCAGGGACAATAATAATAATGAATATATCTTTCACAGGTCAATATATATGTTCTAGACAATAAGTAGGGCCCAGAATTATCTAAAAGAGATCAAGGTAAGTCACATTTTTAAGAAACGGTGTGGCACTTTCAATGATCCTGAACTGCCTGCGGTCACAAAAGCCCATCTTTTTAACAGCAATATCTTCTCAGAAATTCTATATGGATGTGAATCAGGGAACAGAAGAATTTCAGAACAATGAAAGTGTAATGAATCCTAAAGGACAATGGAAAGACTCATGCTGGGTATGAGTAGTTTGGGGCATATTACCAATAATTGCTTTCACGTACGAAGTATTGTAAGAGATACAATTAAGGGCAAATATCATTGGAACCAGTGAGTTGGTAGAACAAGCAAGCATAAGATTACAGATGATAGGCCCAAATACTGCATAAGATATATTCATGAGATATTAAAAGAACAAGGCCACCAGAATGTTGGGTAGGTTCTTTATGGAGAATTATTAGAAAGGTATAGACATAATTCCATTTGCCCAATTCTAGTTTTCAAGAAGTTATTTTCTTACAAATACCCAAATTAACTATTAAAGACATATGAAGAAAGATACTATCTGCATCCATAGAAGGAACTGATAAATAGATGTATATAATAATTTTACATATATATGTGTGTGTGCACACACACACACACACACACACACCCCTATTTGTGTAGTCATCTCTAGGGCAGGGGGTGGGGGATGGAAAAAAAAAGAAATTTACATGATCATTTTGTTGTATGTTTGAAAGGAATAGCAAGTTGTCCATAGTAAATATGCAGTTTCATGTGCAATCATCTTTTTTATTGTACTATGTTACAGAAATGCTTGTTTTATTCCATAAATTAAAAATAAAATTTAATAGTGGAAAAAAAGAAAGGTATGAAAAAAATTGCAATGAAGAAATACTGGCATTATCCTCACCAACGACATCACAAATTCATGAAAAATAACAATAAAAAATTACATTACTTTAAGGTTTATAAAACACTTTCCTCATATTGTAGATATAAGATAAATGCAGCATAATCAATAATACCAAAACATATCAAGACTGACAACCAACAAAGATTTCAAAAGAAAAAAAACAGCTATGACCCCTAAATATCAGTTTTCTATCCACAGCCATGATGCACATAGTCAATTCAACTGAATTTCACAAACACTTATGAAACGTCCACTACACGCAAGGTATTGTCTAGACATCAGAGATATAAAGACAAAAAACAGTTCCAGCCCTCCAGGTATGTACATTCTATTGAAGGGAACATCGACTTTATAGTCTTCTCTCTCTAAACTAAACTGGCCCAGGAGTCAGTCTTACCATTTTCTACATTTGCCAATCGATGAAGAAGTGGAAACCAGACCAGACACTGAGGTGGGGGATCAGACATGAGTGTGTCCAAGAAAGCGTTCAAAGTGACTTTTTTCTGCATCAGAAAGGAACAAAGTCAAGAGTGGGAGAAAACTTTCTTAATATACCTGTTATGTCAACTTTAGTTTGACTCAAAATGAAAAAAATGAAAAAAAATGTACCAATGAACAAACATTTATTAACCACTTACTATGTGCCTCTGCTGAGTGCCAGAAATATAAAGAAAAAGTGAAAACTGATCCTGCTAACAAGGATCTTGTGTTCTAATGGAGCAGAAAAAAGACCCATTTCCAAAGGTGATGTTTAAGTATCCATCCTGCAAACCTCTTCTCAGCCTTTTACATCTATAGGTCAAATCTAGTGCACCCTCATAATCTGATAGGTCACAATGACAGTGTTTATATAGGAAAATGTGTTTAGAGTTCTGAACATCAAAATTCTTAACAAACTTTTCTGATAACCTCTTTATAAATTAAAGTGCCAAGTCCCAGCTACTATAATTATAATTATTAACATAGAATCTAATAATCAATTCAAGGACTGAATTCTAGTATCTCATATGAGTTAAAAGGACACTGATTTTAATGGTGGTTTAAAAATGAGCCAAAGAATACAGAGGAAAAAAGAATTAACATGATTCAGAATTTGAACATAAAACTACAATGCTGTTTACCAATGAGAAACTGAAAAATACTAAACCATGGTAGACTTGGGAACAGAATCACCTTACAGTGCCTACATCCCATTTATTTTTTACTTCCATCTAATAAATGTGTCTTGTCTTTCTATTTCTTTCTAAATCTCCCCAGTATCTATCCACTTGCCACTGGTGTACTTTAACACAGTGGCTGTAGGTGTACAAAAGTACAAATAACAGGTATCACTGATTTAAGGCTTTAGAGACACAAGCTCATTTAACACTCACAGCAACCCTGTGGGTGGTGGTGGAGGCTAGTAAAGTCGTGTAAAAAGACAATTCAGTGGAGGCTCTGAGAGGTTGTTACTTTCCCAAGGCTACACAGAGTGTTATTTCTAGGACCTGATCTTGACCCTCATTCTAGATCTAGCACCCATAGTGTGAAAGAACCCAAGGATCATAGAATGAGAGCCAAAAGGGACCTTGAAGACCATTCATTCTAACCTCCTCACTTTACAGAATAGGAAACTGAGTCACAGAGAAGCTAGGTAACCTGCCCTGAGTCACCCAGATAGTTACGTGTCTGAGGTAGGATTTGATCACAGATTTTTCTGATTCCACCTCCAACATACCATGTTGCCTCCCTAAAAATACTGAGCTGCTCAGGTGTATAACAAATCCTTTTATTAAGGAGATTTGTTCTGTGAAGTTTGGATTCAGTCAAAGGGCTGCACTCGAGGACCTAGAGAGCCACATGTGGTCTTGAGGCCGTAGGTTCCCTATCCCTGGAACCTGTACTTTTCTGATCCATAGTAAGATATAGCTAAGTCCCAGGTCCAGAGGCCAGGTGGGTTCTGAGGCCATCTATTTCAAAAGGTGGAGAGCAGTCATGAATCACACATCGACAGGGAAACTGTTGAAGCATCATTTATACACAACCAGCTTCTGGACTAGGGTTTTTTAAGTAAGGAAACTCATCTAGTGAGATAATGAGAACACATACATAAAGCACTCTGCAAATCTTGAAGAGCTTTATCAGGGTTAATTATTTCCATTATTTTCTATTGAAAGTCATCAAGCTTTTGTGTTTGTATGATTTTTTTCCATCAGTATAAGCAAAAACTTCCCAATATTTAGAACTGTTCAAAAGTAGAACGCATTGTGTCAGGAAGCAGAGGTGTTCTAGTAAAGATTAGACAAGGGGAGGTTACAGAAGAGATTCTAGTTAGTCAGGTAGTCAATAAACATTTATTAAGTACCTACTATATGCCATACACTATACTAGATGCTCTTAAGGTATAGGTTGGGCTAGATGACCTCTGAGGGCCTTTCCAATTCTGAGATTCTGCAGCCATATGCATTGTACCACTGTCCCTACAAGGGGGAAAAAGGATCTCAATCTTCCTCTCTTTCCTTCTCCTCTTTGGAAAATTTCCTTTCTTCCTTATCTGTCTTTGTCTCTGTCTCTTTTTCTCAACCTCTCTTTCCTCTAACCCTTACCCTAAGCCGGTCTGGACCAGACTCTGAATCTAATTGATTGTTTCCTGTACTATTAATAGTTGACATTGATATAGTGCTTTAAACCAGAGAATTCTATACATCTGTTCTTTCACTTGAGCTTCACAATAAGTCTGTGAGGTAGGTATCTCAGCTCTTCCTATCATGGATGAGGAAACAGGCTTAGTGAAGTTATTTTCCCCTGGTCACAAATGTAGTAAATGTTAGAACTGAGATATGAAGCCAGCATCGGCCCTCCTGATGCTGTCTGACATTCTTTCCACTGTACCACACAACCCCAATCAAGAGGCTAGTAAAAAGATAGGAGTGTCTCATGGACTTTGGTCTTTACACCCAGGGATACTGGTTTTAGCTGTTCTTTTGGAGGAGGGTCACACCTAAAGCTGGTAACAATACACCATAGATTAATGACATGATGGAAAAGTTTTGAATGAGTTTATGTGTTTTGGGGTAACATTTATGACATGCTTTTCCTTTAATCACACTGTTCTTACCTGTTGGGAGAAACAGGATCGGGCAGACTGCTCTGTATAACCAAACGAGGGACCTTCAAACACCGCAGTGGGGAGTTTGAGGACTTCCCGTAGGAATAGGTCATATCGCCCATAAACCATTACTCCATTGGAGTCAGAAATCATTGAGAAAATATCTAACGGAAATAAGAGAAAAGATACTTAATTTACATATAGAAAAATCACTTTACTTAATTCAATCACATCTGTTTAAAATAATAAGGGATATGACTGAATAAAATACGCTTTGGAAAAATAAGGAAATATATCTGATTTTAATATTTAAGTGTTCGTTCTTCTGGGCAACTTCTCTTAAAAGTCGGTAACTGAAACCTAACACAAGACAGGAGATCGTTCAAATGAAATTAGACTAATTTGATAACCAGCAGGTTATACCAACTTTTTGCCTTGAAATCACATAAATGTGAGTACATGACATTGTTGATCTAGTGAAATATTTCACTAGATTTACTGAAAAATGTTTATACATTTTTTTTTACTATAAAAACCACCTTTTCTGTGCTTTTAAGACATCTAGAAAAGCAAATAAAGGGCAGAGATGAGAAGGAGTTAAAGCAACTGATTAACATTTGATAGAGGTGGCAAACTCAGTGAACCTCTATGTTCCATGTATAAGAAGTCTATCTGGATGGAGCTGGGAGAAGGTTCTTTAGGCCTATTTAATTTAGAGGAAAAGTAGCATAGTAATTGGTCACCGGACTGTAATCAGAGTTGTAGGTTTTATTTTCAGCAGTACCATTGGTTTTTATTGTAACCAGAGGCAACTGGTTTAACTTTTTTATCTCAGCCTCTGCACCTGTGCACTTAATGAAGATTAATGAGATAATGTTGAAAAGCTCTTTTGAGTTCAACCGGTAAAAATGTGCCTTGAAAATGAATGACTTTTTTTTCCTTCTATTCAATATATTATCACCATACTCTATAGAAGTTCACCAGGAGAGAATTGCTCTTGGGAATGCATGACTGTACTACAACCTTTGCACAATTAATACACCTAAATGGCTGCTTACTAGGAGTGGAACATTCTCATAGAACGGAGCCTTTTGATAACACTCATATCAGGGCATGAGACTGACATATATGATCTTTTATTCTACACATTTGTCACGGAGAAAGAGCATGACCCATGTGGCACTAAAATCTTTGTACAAGGAGTTCTCAGAATGGAATTTAGATGTAGGTGCAAATTTTGAAAAAATTCTTAGGTTAAAAAATGCTATTTAATCTATAAAACTGACCTTTTGGCCCCTATTTTTACCAATGATACTTCTCTTATTTATGCACTCCCATCTCTTGCTGCTTTTATATTACTTAGATGAGTCTGCCAGTGGCAAATATAGTATGCCCTAACACAGATCCCCATGAAATCCAATGAAATTGGATAATTCCTAGCTATAATATCTATTAAATATCTATCTAAATACCTATAATACCTATTAAATATTTCAGTGTAGTCCCTAATTGCTTTTGCTTATGCTAGGTATCTTTCTCTTCTGATTTCTTTTAGGCTCTGGACTTCTAGGCTTATTTTTAGTTTTAAAACAGGGTTAGGTTTTTTGGGCTATATTTTGGGCACTCTTGATTAGACTAAATACAGAAAAGTACATCCACTCTGATCAATGCAATAAGCCAACCATGACTGTAGAACACTGGTGGTAAAGGATGCTACCCATTTCCTGACATAGAGGTAGTGGATTCAATACACAGAATGAAATGTACATTTGTGGATATGGATAAGGTGGGAAATTGTTTTGCTTGACTATGCATATTTGTTACAAGGGTTATGTTTTTCTTTTTTTTAAAATTAGGAAAATAGGAGGGAAAATAAATGAATGCTTATTAATTAAAAATAAAATGGAAAATGAATTAAAAACCTCAAAGTCATTTAAACTCAAATAATGTTAACATTTGCTATGAGGGTAAGTTCAACCAAGGAACAGCAAAGCAAGGGCCTATAGAAAAAGATGTTGTTAATGGCTACATGGCCGAGGATTCCATATTTAATTCAATTTAAGGATCAAGTTGAAGAATGAGTTAAAAAGATCTAAAAAGATCATCTCAATAATTACTATCTACTCTACATTTTGATACTTGATCATATTCAGTTTGGTACTGTCTGTAAATTTTGTAAATTTTTTCTTCCCCTAGCAGACTTTCCTGTCCTTGTCATCAACTTTTGTATCTGCCATAATAATTAAAGTATCAGCTACATAGAAATGCTTAATAATTTTTCTAGAAATGTCCTGAATTGAGAATGTTGGAAAATGAGGAGAAATGAGAGGGAAGAAATGGAATTCTATATTCTCAGTCATTTGCCAAAGCCCAATCCTCTTTTTGAAGCTCTTAAAAGAATAGTATTGCTATTGGTATATGGACTAATATATGAAATAAAAGTAAACTAAACAATAAGGGCTGAGGTTATTAGTGGTGCCAATGGAGAGGAGCAGGGGGCAAAGAGAAAAAAAAGATAGTAACGACTTTAGAAGTGAGCAGATGACTTTTGTTTCTTGAATCAGAATTGTTCTGAGGCTACCCTTATACCTTGAGAAGCTGGAGTCTACACACATGGAGGAGGGGACTGTGACATGCTGCTGTCACATTCTGTCCTACTGCTATGGGATAAGTAATTTGGTGCACACATCAGGGCAGTTACTCAGTTTGGTGACTAGATGGCACTCATGCCATTTACTTCATTCTCTCTGTCAAAGAATAGTGACTCTAATTGTTCACTAAATATATTCTGATGTTTTCACTGAGCACTTGCTTTTTTAAAGCAGGTGAGCTGCTATCCCTTGGGCTTCTTTGGCCCAAGGGACTGAAAGAGGTGTTAATAGTTGGGCCACTGCTTTCTTAACCAGATCAAACTCTGTTCTCATTTAGGCAGTCGCACTGGTACAGTGAAAAAAAAGCACTGGTTCTGGAGTCAAAGGGCATAGATTCAAATATTGTCTCTGCTATTTAATAGTTATGTGACCTTTGACAAGTCACTTAATCTTTCTGGGCCTCAGTTTCCTCTTTTGTAAAATGAAGTGGATTAGTTGACTTAAGACCTATTTTAGCTCTAAATATGAACCATATTTCATAATGAACCAACACTGACACTCATCTGTTTTAGAGCAGCTTTTGCAAAATATACATTAGCTCATTCATAAATTTCACTAACAAACTATCTAGATTTTCTCTAACATATTTGATATATACACAGAATAAAGAGCTATTTACAACATTTAGGTACAGGCTTTGGGGAGAAGTCCAAAAGTTAAAGTTTCCTCCTCCTACTATTCTTAAATACATCTAAATTTATTTTGCCAAGCCTTAACCTGAAGAAAATTCTTCTAGATTCATAGTGAGGCACTTCTTTAAATAACTAGCAGCCAGAGCTGTAATTAGCCATTCTTGTACACTGGGGAAACATCACAAAAATGGACCAAGGGCACGTGGCAAGATATATGTCCTGAAATGATGGCGGAAGGGTTGATCCCTGTGGGGCAGAGATATCATGAGGTCACTTCTTGGGAAATCAGATCAGAAAGGCAAGGCTAGCAAGAAACTTGGCAAGAGTGCCGGAGCTAAGGAACTGGTGTCATCTGATAGTTTTCCATTTTAATAAATTACCCTTACTGTGTGCTAAGTTGAGTTATTTCAATGCTACCAAAGAACTGCAAGAACTATGAATACCCTCTAAATTTTAGCACCCTGGGCCAAAGGCCTAGTCATCCCATCTTAGTTACAGCTGTAACTTCTAATGCCACCATTTTAACTTATTTAGGCATTGTACTAGAGTACTTTCCTCAGTTTATCTAGTCTAATTCTAAAATCAAAACTGAACACCCAAAAAGAGTATAAAATGACTTTTCAATACTTTATGAATTTACACTGGCTCCTAAGTAGGAAAAACTCTGGGCTGTTCTACTTCTTTTGACCTTAACCTCTTTGTTTTCCCTCCCAACTGTCTTTGCTGGACAATGAGAAAGCTGTGAGCAGGTCCTGGTTATTCTCCACTTGGGCTAATAACAGGTTAATTTAAAGCATATCTCAAACTGGTTTTCTTCTGTTTTCTGTCTCTTTTCCCTTTATATCAGTTTATTAACAACTCACAATAACCTAGTCTCTGAAGCTGATGGGCAAGCAACTAAGAGTCACTGAGGTGACTTTAAAAAAAGGGTGTGTGTGTGTGTGTGTGTGTGTGTGTGTGTGTATGATATCAATTGATGCTAATATAGATTTCTTCATGGATACCAAGGGATGAGAGTGACAAAAATATGGTATTTGGAGACAGGAGGAGGTTCCAATGGCCAGTTTTCTTTTCAACCTTTTGTCCATTTCAGTTTATTTTCTACCTTGCTTAGGACAACTGTATAGACCAGTAGCTCCAAAAATGCAGACTTTAGACTCCTAGGGATTAGGAAGTTATTACAAGGGGTCCATAAATCCATAAGAATACCACATACCACCTTTTAATTTTATTTAGCTTCAACAAAATATTCAGTACAACTAAGCATAATAAATAAGCAAAGAAACCTTCTGTCAACTTATTAAGTATGTCTGACACACAGGTGTAACGTGCATTTGGGATTTTTTTTAAAAAAACTGTGTAGATGCTGTTATGATTAACAATATAGAAACTTATTTGGAAGCATTATTTAATTTATACTAGCTTTTTGTCATCATGCATGTTTATTTTCAAATAAATACTAATAATACAACTATCATGTGTTTTTTATATTAAAAAAAGGAGGCTTCATGCCATTATTCCAGGGGTGGGAAATTAATGGCCCAAATAATTCCTATGCCCATACCGTGGAAAAGTCTGCCTTAGGACATGCACCTCAAAGTTCCACCTATTTGGTTTTCATTAAATATGGGATGAGCAAATTTCGCAATATAGTTGGGTGATTTCTACTGCTTATTTATTGAAATAGCAGGATATCACAGTTTGGTCTTCAAGTTCTTATCATTGTAAGCATAAGGCTATGTGATAGTTCAGATAATCTCAAAAAGTCAATACATTTGAAGAAATGCATGTTTAATATTAAAAGCAGAATTGATCATTTGTGTTTAAATAATAGCAAACAATAACAATAATTCCAATACAGAAGTATAGCATTTATGTTTGCATATAATTACTTAATGTGAACAGTTCAAAAACCAGAATCTAAAAACCTGGGAAGGTTGAACATTGTACAACTTTAGCAAAAAAAAAAAGCACTTAAGAAAATATGAATTATATATTTTTTAAATTATAAATTCTTAAAAAAAACAACAACTTTGACAGGTACTGGAAAGAATTGTGATTGGGATAAAGTTAGGGTATTACATTGAAGGGAAAGGAGAAAACTTTATAGAGAGATAGACAGGAAGTTTGTACCTTGACTAGGAAAAGGACAATACAAGAAATGACTTACATCTTAATTTGTCCATGATCTTTCCTCCACATAGGGTGGCTAAGGCCATTTTGACAGCAAATACTGAAATTTTACCGTGACCTTCCCTATTAAACAACAATAAAAAGTGATGTTATTCGAAGCAATCTCTGTAGTTAAGTCTTAATACATTCCATTCCATAGAATTAAAAGGACGTGGTCCCCCGCAAGCATTATGAAAGGACTCATCATGCATTCTGAGAGGAAATATTTTTGTAAAAGTTGTATATACAACTTAATGTATGTTTCCATGAACCAATTCACCATTTCCATTGTGAAGAAAGAGGAGGGTCTTCTGGAGTCTCTGTAACACATACCTGCTTATAATATTAGACTCATAATATGCACAGAACAGACTGAAATCGTATAACACAGATTTAAACTTTTGTGCACCCCAATACCATACTCTTTGTTACTTTTTATTTAGAAAGCTTCAGATGCATCCTTCCACACTGACAATGACTCACTTTTAAAAAATGGAGAGATGCTGGATTCTGCCTCTTCCCCCTCAAGTATTCTTTTTCTAACTCTTTTTTCCTATCTACAAAGGAGCCACTGTTATTGTAAAATATTTATCTGTCAAAATGAGTTCATTTTCTAAGGAGGAAACAATGAGTGCTATATTTGATCCTTCATCTTCTACCCAAGTAAAACACACACAAACACACTTGCCCTAATCTTCATGGATTCAGGAAGTTAGTCAATTTTGTCCTTCACAAAATGTGCTATAATAGACCTCTCATAACTATAAAAAAAATCTACTATCTGGGTCCAAGAATTCTCTAACCCCTAGATCAAGCTGTTTATCCTCATATTCTAGCCACCGAAAAAACCCATCACACTAAAGGATTCACTTCTCTCCTGGTGGCCCTATTAAGACTGATTCAAAGAATTATTTAAGGAAGAAAATGATTGAAATGTCTGCTTTAAACATTAAATTATGTGTACACTATATATATTTTTTATGACAGCCTAGTATACAGAGAGCTGGCTTCAGAGTAATGACAGCTGGGATTCAAGTCTTATTTCTCATGCATACTAGTTATGTGACCCTGGAAAGGTTAACTAACCTCTTAGTGCCCCAAGCAACTCCTTAAATTGCAGAACAGGTGCTGATCTGCATTAATAGAGAAGAAGTTTCTTGTTCAGGAGTTTCATCTGATTCACCATTTTCATGAACTAAAATTTCTGAAACAGTACCCTTCAGCCTCAGTTTCCTTATTTGCAAAATGAGGTTAGATTAAATGACCTTTAAAATTACTTCCAGCTCAGAAACCTTTCAGCTTACATTTGTCAGTCAGTCAACAAGCATTTATTAAGTACTTACTATGTGTCAGTCACTGAACTTAGCACTTAGAAGCAGAAATACAAGTAATAGAAATAAAAGTAGAAGCAGAAAAAAAAGGTAGTCCTTGCCCTCAAAGAGCTCACATTCTAATGGGAACCGAAAAGGGAGGGGTTGAGATGGAGTCTTGGTAGAGAAAGTCTAGGGGAAATGAGTCAGCAGTACAGCCTAGGGAAGGTTGAAGACATCTTTGGCCTGGGCTTCTTCCTTAACTTAAGAGTTTCTGGGAGGAATCAGGCAATCAGAAGGTGAGGTCTCAAGGGCGTAGAGTTCTTCCAATGTGAGAAGTAGTTAGGGAGGTGGTAGTGGTAGTGATGGTGGAGTGAGCTTCTCCTTTCCTGTCTTGTCCTCTGTTCCTTCTTCTCTCTCAGTCTACATAGGGTATAATACCCTTGCCTGTGGGTACTCTGCCCAAAGGAATGTAAATTTTGATTGATGAAATCTGGCAAGGGTTTATGGGTTAGATTTATTCCTTAAGGACCATGCCTTAAACCCAAATCACTCTGGCTCTCGTGGATTGGCCAATGATAGGTTCCAGTCCAAACACCACCTGGTCATTGTTTGGTCCCTAATGGCTCAGTGAATGTAAATAGCAACTGTTTCTGTTTAGACCAGAAACTCTGTGAGTCTTCCCCTCCTAGATTGATTTTTTTTTTTTTACAAAGTGAAAGAAGCCATTCTTTGCTTCATTTCTTAACTAGCCTTAATCACTGAATGGGGATTGCCTCAGTCAAAATGAGACCCGGGAAAGAGTTAGCTCAAAAACACCAAGGCCTCCCAACTGCATCAGGGGCCACCTCCAGTCATCCTGATCTATATCTATATCTTGCCACTGGACCCAGATGGCTGTGGAGCAGAAAGTGAGGCTGGTGATTTTGCAGAACCTTCCCTCACTTAAATCCAATTCACTTGCAAGTCATGGCATCACCTTCCTGCTGTCATGGTCCTCTTCAAGAATGAAGGACAAACAACGGCAACATTTCTGTGGCAAGGTAGGGAAAGTCCTATGGAGATCAATTAGTAGTGCAGCCTGTAGAGGGATAATCTGTATTGTTCTTCATAATTTTTAACAACTCTCCTTATAACAGTGATGTGAAGTAGGCAATTCAAGTCCATTATTATTATTCTATTTTACAGATGAAGAAACAGTGGGCCAGAGAGTCTTAAGTGACTTGCCCAGGATTACATAGTAAGTGTTGGAGCTAAAATATGAACCCAAGTCAAATGACTCCAAATTCTGTATTCTTTCTGCTATACCATATTGTCTTCAATGAAATAATGATCAATAATAAAAATGAATGGTGCTGACTTCTTTATAAATTCAGATCTATACTTCTTTAGCTCCAAAAATGTATGAAAAGACTTGATAAACTTATTCAACTTCTGTTGTTGTTGCTATGTCCAAGTCTTTGTGAGCTAATTTTAAGATGAGAAACTGAGGCAAACAGGGCTAAATGACTCGCCTAGGGTCAAACAGCTAGTAAGTGTGTAAGGCCAGATTTGAACTAAGGAAGATGAGTCTTCCTGACTTCAGGCCCTACTGTATCCACTGCATCACCTAACTTTTAGAGAAAAGGAAATATAACAAATGTGGGCACACTACTTGGGAAAAATGGAAAAATTGAGTTAAAATCCAGAAAGAATTAAAATAATTAAAGAATTAAAAATTAAAACCCACAAAAGAGTCTATTAAATTGGCGGGGGGGGGAAGTGTACCTAAACTCACACTTGCTGGAGAAGGAAATAGCAAACCATTCCAGTATCTTTGCCAAGAAAACCCCAAATGGGGTCACAGAGTCAGACATGACTGAAAAACAACTGAAGTTCACACTTGACCTGCACAAGGAAAAGAAGTCAATGGACCTACTTTTAGCCAGAGGATCAATAGGATCCCATTATAACTGTGGAGCCAAATGTTATGAAGCAGAGACAACTGATGGTCAGCATATACTGAAGAGCAGATTCCCACACTGTCCTCGATAAAGGAGAAGTTTAATGTACTCAAAATACTTTAAAGTATGCAAATGGAACTGGGCATGGTGGCACATATCTGTAATTCTTTCATAACAGAGGAGCTGAGGCAGGTGGATCCCTTGAGTTCTAGCATTCTGAGGTTCAAGTAAGCTTAAAGGGTATGCAGTATCTGCACTACGTCTGACACTAATATGGTAAGACCTCCAGAATGGGAAGGCTACAAGGCTGCCTAAGGAGGGGTGAACCCAAGGATGTGTTGGAGCCAGCTCAAACCAGTTCCCAAGAACTTACTTAAATTTTCAGTGGGAGCATTTACACCTTGGAAATTGGCAAACACTAAAAATCACGGATTGATTTATTGTTTTGTTGCTAGTGTAGACTTCATAAAATAATGGAGAAAATGTTAATAATGCAGATTAAACGTAAAAGTATGTCATACGTGCGTAGTTTTCAGAGAGCTGGTTGTTAACCATTTACCAGCAGATTTCTAGGTGAACCTGCTGCCCAGGTTAGAAAAATGTAGAAAGTAAAAAGTTTCCATAAAGATCAACACTGGGATAAGCCTATGAGTGACCTTTGCACTTCCAACCCAGGCGAGATAGACAGACTCATTCTCCTTTACAACTTGGCCCCAACCTACCTTTCCAGGCTTATTATATATCACTCCTCTTTACCTGTGCGATGATTCAGGCAAACTAGCCTTCTTACTGTTCCTCATAAGCAACACACCATTTCCTGTCTCTGAAACTTTGTGCTGGCTGTCCCCCAGGTCTGGAAAGCAATCTCTCTTCCTCTCCTCCCTTATCATCCCCATTATTCTTCAAGGATCAGTCCTTTATCACCTTGTATTCCTGGGCTATGTCCATTTAGGTCTTTCAGTAGTTCCCAAAACTTTATTATGACAATCTCAAAGATAATATTAGGCTGTAATAGATAAAGAGATTAGTTATTTCTTTGTCTCTCTGTTATACCATAAAGACAAGGAAAGAAAAGAAACAATAAAGGCTGAGCAATCACAAAATTTCTAGGCTCAGAAAGTCTTATACAAATAGATGATTTCATATTTAATTAAAAAGTCATTAAGTATCCATTGACTGAATGAATGATTAGTAATTCTAAGGAAGTAGACTATGATTAATACTTTTTTGTTCAGTATGTGGGAAAGGCTGATCCTGTTCCTTCTATTTCTAGGCTCAAAGATATTTCACTCATAATAATGTATTGAGAATGGTATCTGGATATTCTTTCATTCCCCTTCCATCTCCTCCTTATACATCCTCATCATCATCCTCATCATCATCAACAGTAGTGGCAGTAGCAGCTTCTTAGAGGTAGGAAGGACTATGAGATCACTTATCCCAACCCTTACAAAAATCACAGGAGAGCCTCTTTCACAACACCACTAACAAAGAAGTCATTCTCTGCTTGAAGACTTCCAGCAACAGAAAATTCACTTTCTACTGAGGCAACCCATTCTCATTTAATTTTTAGTAGGTTTTCCCTTCTGTTCTCCAATAACTGCCATTCATGGGTCCTAGTTCTTTGACTTGGGGGCAAACATAACAAAAACAATTCCCTTTCTACTTGATAATACTTTAAATATTTGAATACAACTATCATATCTATGCCAAGTATTTTTTTTTATCCAGGCTAAATATGTCCAGTGGTTTCAAATAATGAATCAATCAACAAGCATTACACTGGGGCAGCTAGGTAGTGCAGTGGATAGAGTGCCAGGCCTGGAATCAA